CGAGTGCCTGTTGGAGGCGTTCGATGAAAATTCTAAACAATGAAAATTTGGAAAAGAAAATGGATAAAAAATCTATAAATTAAAAAGGACCATAAACATGCAAAAGCTAAAACTTTTGAAAGCATAATTGTGTACCAAAACAATAAAAAATAGTGTGTGATATTACAGAAATTGAGAAATGAAATAATAAGTCAAATAAAAGAGCAGAAATTATAAAATCACTACTATGAACAAATTGTATAAGATTTTCACATTAATATGAGTTTGGCAGGAACCAGAGTTTCCTTCTAAGGGTCTAAAGGGAAAATAAATCATTATTTGAAAGGTTCTACTATTCGAATGCAAAGTTATAAAGTAGATAAGAGATGTGATGAAATAAATGGTATAGACCAAAAAAAGATAAACTCGCGTTATTTGTCTAGTCTCTTCGATACCACATGGCGAAAAGGCGCCTCGACCTTGAAAGCGACTTCTAATCCAAAAGAGTTTATTAGTAACTGTTCCTACGACGCGAACTCCAGCACCCAGTGTAGCATAAGTTGCTGAAGTTGCCGCGGAGGCAAAAGCTTGTGGGACAAATAAGCAATGTCGTAGAGGAATCAGTCTATAAATATAAACACCCAGACTATTCCAAATTAGTCTATCGTGCTAAGAAGTTTGCTATAAGGACATCAAATTCCTATAAGCACTCCGACAAAAAGAGATTATAGAAATTCATTAAATCGTGAAATATTTTTAAGCAGGCTAAGGAGGAGTGGGCAATAGTGGCAGCTAGGATGAAAATTGGAACAACAAGACTTATAACATTTTTTATTTATTTTGGATGTAAATTATGTCAAGGTTAACAGAGATAAAAAGTTATTTAAGATGGATGAACTTTCAAAGGATTATATATTCTATCAGACAGTGTTCATCTAATCGGTGATTATACCGAATCTTTAGCTGTCTTCGAATAAGGTAATAATCATAACAAAATAAGTATCTTTAGAATCTGCAAATAAATAAAAATTGTATCAGTTATATGAGATGTATTCATCCTATTTCGTTTAAGGTGATAAAGGATTTATAGTTGAATTTTACCACAATGATGAGTAAACTGACGTTTCCTTTGAATTTCATACAGCCTTGCTTTCCCAAAGGCGTTCTCATCCAGGTTTTTTATCACCTTAAGTAAAATAGGCTGAATAATCTCATATAAATTATTTTCTGGTAGTCTCGAAACTCTACTTATAAACGAAAAACTGTATCACTTTAGCCATAATAAAATCCGTCTTAGTTACAGGTTTTGGCTCATTAATATGCAAATACGAACATTTAGAATGGAATATTTAAAAGGCAAAGCCTTACCAGATCCGGTGCTGGTTAGTCTGTCTACCAATCGAGTTGCAATATGCCCTGATTCGGCGTTACGATGAAAAGCTCGCCCCAACTCCGATTGGACGGCCGGCTCCTTGTCACTGGACTTCTGCTCTTCTGCTGAGCCATTAGCCGAAAGCGAGTTGCGCAGCCGAGCTTTATCGAGAAAAATAGCCATGCATGCCATACACTTTGCCAAAAGACGGTTAATGCCAGCTGAAGGCTGGTTTGTGTGAGTAACCAGTTCGGCTAGACAAGTGATGCCCAGATGCTCGTAAGGAAGCAAATGATTGCCCCGATGTGGCTCAGGGGCTAAGGGCAAGGGGCAAGCCAGTTTTCGTATAGCCGACTGCATATCTTCATGGAGGGAGTTCAGTAGGGTCAATGCCTTTGTAAATGAGAGAAGGCGTTTGGCCAGAATGCGAGTTTCCTCGGCACTCGAACCGGGAAGCAGGCCTGAGCCAGAAGCATCAAAGCCGAAGGTGCCATCAACCAGGTTAGAGGTGTTGCCACTTACGTCGGTTCCAGAGGCTATCACTTTACTGAGAAGATCACTCAGATAAGATAGATATACAGTGAAAGGAAGGTTATTCAATGGAATGTAAACCTCTGCTACGGACACAATGAGTTGAGGTAGTCTTGATACTATGAAATATTTAAAGGAAAAGTTAAAAAAATCATAAATAGGATCAAGCAGTGAAAGAAGTCTACACATATAATTTGCAAAATTTTAGCATGAGATGCTTCGGGGCCTTTTAGATTTCTATAAAATAAACTTCCTAAATTCTATTATTGTACATTATAATCCTTTTCATATAAAAAAACCAAACGAGCTATTCTTCTAAAAATCAATAAGTTATCTGATGGGATCCTCAATAAAGCATGCATTCGACCTTATAAAGGGTTGTCACCCTGCAAGCAGCCTGAATAACTTTTAAATACATCAAGAAGTAAGCATCGCGAAATACTTCGACTTGCATACAAGCGTGTTAAAAAGCCAGAAGCGAACGGGTTGCCCATCTCTTTAATGAATTACTGCCTAAATTATTATTTCTATTGAAGTAATGTTCAGAAAAAGAGAGCCAAGTAATTTTAAATGTCATCGGATTGGATGACAGTTGGGCTGTTCAAAATGGTAAAATGTTATTTTTCGTTTATAAGTAGGGTTTTTAGATTATCAGTAAGTTAGTTATATGAGAAATATTGACAATCGACAATCCAACCAAAGAATGTGATG